TGTAACGACCGTTCCGAAGCCACGCTTCGTGCTCTGGTCATTACTAGAATAACTGCGTGTCTGCTCCAAACCCACCGCTAGCCTTCGCCGCGCTTGGGTCTAGCCAGCACGCCACACGGGCATGCCGAATTACTGTGTGTGATCCGCCCGGCCGTGACAGGATGTCTGAGCCGCATATAGACCCAGCGGAATTCGAACGGCTGAAAGCCGAAGTGTTATATCTTCGCGGTGTGGTGGATCGGATGAGCACAAAGATGGAGTCTCTCACCGAAACTGTCCTCCAGCTTTCCTCTTCCGTCACCTCGCTGCAACGTCAGCCAGCGCCGGTGAGCGCTGAACCCCGGATCGGACTACCCGACAAGTGGAACGGAGTAGACGGCCGGCCTGATGGATTGCTCGCCACCTTAGACATGATGTTTGAATGTCAACCCACTAAATACGACACTGCCCGTGCAAAAGTGGCGATGCTCACCTCTCTCTTGTCTGGCCAGGCTCAGGAATGGGCCGCGGCCCTCTACAACAATAAGTCTGCAGCGTGTAATGACTATGCTCTGTTTGTGGAGGAGTTAAAAAAGACTTTCATTCCCCCCAGCAGTGAAGTGGAAGTGGAGTCACAGCTGCTTCATCTACGCCAGGGCAGCCGACCAGTCTGTTACTTCGCCTCCCAATTCCGCACCCTGGCTGCTAAGCTTCAATGGGGAGATGCTTCTCTGCGCTCCATCTTTCTAGAGGGGCTGGCTGATTACATCAGAGACGAGATGGCCGGCCGTGAGGCCCCAAAGACCTTGGATGAGGCCGTGGACCTTGCCCTGAAGATTGACCAACGTGTGATGTCGCGGCCTCGCCATGCCCCTCGGGCCTTAAAACCCTTCCAGCCTCAGCGGACCACGTCGTCGCGACCTCCTCCCTCTCTGATGGAGCCACGGCTAGCCCAAGCAGCACATCCAGCGAGGAGCCCATGCAGCTGGGTGGACTCCCCAAAGAGGAGAAAGAGAGACGCTGGCGTGAGGGCCTCTGCGCCTACTGTGGATCAGCTCGACACCGTCGTCCCCAGTGCCCGCTACGGCCGGGAAACGACGACGCCAGGTAGACTGCGGGGGTGTCCCACCTGGCCCTTCCCACTCCTCCGATCCCTCTCGTTTTCTGTTACCGGTCACATTTCACCTGAAACACCAACGGCTCTCATCCGAAGCCCTCCTGGACACCGGAGCCGCCGAGAACTTCATCGACCAAAAACTAGCCTCTCGGCTTCGCATCCCATTGACTTCCGTCGACCGATTTCTCCCGGTGACCTCAGTAGACGGGCGACCACTCCAACCCTACCCGGTCCAGTTCCAGACCCAGCCAGTCCGCATGTCTGTCGGGGATCATCAGGAGGAGATCCGGTTTCTAGTAGTCTCGGCCTCTTCCTCTCCTCTCATCCTCGGATACCCCTGGTTCCGTCGACATGACCCCCACGTCTCCTGGTCTTCCTGCCAGATCCTGGACTGGGGTCCCCGGTGTTCACGCCGCTGCCTTCTCCTCCGGACTGGACAGGACTCAAAGTCAGAAGAGGCGTCACCCCCCGAGCCCGTCGATCTGGATAGGATCCCTCCGGCTTACCATGACCTGTCCGAGGTCTTCAGTAAGAGGCGAGCCTCCGCTCTCCCTCCTCATCGCTCCTACGACATGGCCATCGAGCTCCTCCCGGGAGCAGTCCCTCCTCGTGGTCGCCTGTTCTCGCTGTCAACCGCAGAGAACAAAGCCATGGAGGAGTACGTCGCTGAGGCTCTCCAACAGGGCTTCATTCGCCCTTCTACCTCCCCTGCAGCTGCGGGGTTCTTCTTTGTAAAGAAGAAAGACGGCGGGCTTCGACCCTGTATAGACTACCGAGGCTTGAATAAAATCACCGTTAAGAACCGCCATCCTCTTCCTCTGCTATCCACCGCGCTCGATTCCCTCTCCCAGGCCTGCATCTTCACCAAACTAGACCTACGCAGCGCTTACAATTTGGTGCGGATTAGAGAAGGGGACGAATGGAAGACGGCCTTCATCACCCCTAACGGGCACTGGGAGTATCTGGTGATGCCCTTCGGCCTCTGCAACAGCCCTGCTGTCTTCCAACACCTGAACAACGATGTCTTGCGGGACATGCTGGGCCGATGGGTGTTTGCCTATCTGGATGACATCCTGATCTACTCCCGCACCGAAGTGGACCATATTCGCCATGTGCGGGCCGTGCTAAGCAGGCTGCTCGAGTACCAGCTGTTCTGCAAACTGGAAAAGTGTGCCTTCCATCAACGGTCCACTACCTTCCTGGGCTTCACCATCTCTTCCAATGGCCTGACCATGGACCCGCAAAAGCTCCAAGCCGTGACCCAGTGGCCTCAGCCTTCCAGCCTTAAGCAGCTACAGAGCTTCCTGGGCTTTGCCAATTTTTATCGGCGCTTTATCCGCAATTTCAGCACCATTGTCGCGCCACTGACATCCCTCACTAAACCAGCTAACCTACCCAGGCCCTTCTGCCTCCCCCCTGGTGCGAAACTGGCCTTCCGAGACCTTATCCGTCGGTTTGCTACAGCTCCCGTCCTGCTCCACCCTGATCCTGCCGGAGATTTTGTGGTGGAGGTGGATGCCTCCGATGTTGGCGCTGGCGCCGTCCTCTCTCAACATGGCCCGGATGGAAAACTTCACCCGTGCTGCTACTTTTCAAGGAAGTTCTCTGACACGCAGCGACGGTATGGTGTCGGCGACCGGGAACTCCTGGCCATCAAGTGGGCCTTGGAAGAATGGCGGCACTGGCTCCTGGGAGCGAAAGAACCATTTCTGATCTGGACTGATCACCAGAACCTGATCCATATTCGTTCTGCCAAGCAGCTCAACCCAAGGCAGGCCCGTTGGGCCTTATTCTTCGAACCGTACAACTTCCACCTCGCCTACCGCCCTGGCTCCAAGAACACCAAGGCAGACGCCCTCTCCAGGCAGTTCGCCCAGGACGACTTCACGTCAGACCCTGGACCATGGCGCGGGCTGCCATTTCCCGGGCCAACGCTCTGTACACCCGGCAGCATCGTCGCCGCCACCGCCCGGGTCACCCCTTCCGGCCGGGGGACCGCGTCTGGCTCTCCACTAAGCACCTACGGCTGCGCGGTGAGTCCAAGAAGCTCGCTCCCCGGTTCGTCGGCCCGTACGAAGTCACCGCCCAGCTCAACCCCGTGGCTTACCGTCTCCGGCTTCCGCCTGCCATGAAGGTCCATCCGGTTTTCCACGTCTCGCAGCTTAAGCGGCACGTCGCTTCCCCACTGGCGCCCCCTCCCGGGCCCCGCCCCGCCCAGGATCGTCGATGGGGGTCCTGTCTACGCTGTCCGTCGGATCTTGGACTCCCGTCCCCAGGGCCGGGGGGTCCAGTATTTGGTGGACTGGGCTGGCTACGGCCCTGATGAGCGCTCCTGGGTGCCGTCCCGCTTCATCTTGGATCCTTCCCTCATCTCGGATTTCCGTCGCTGCCGTCCTGGCCCGTCGGGTGCCGGTCCTCGGGGGGGGGGGTCCTGTCAGCCGGTGATCGGCTGTGATCAGCTGATCACGGGGCCGGGGTTAAAAGAGAGACGCCACCCACCTGTTCGCCGCTCAGACATCAGTATCTTCGTGTCAGGAGCTCCGAAACTCTGCCGACGTCAGTCTCCGCCTGATTCAGCAACTGTGAGTTACAATCCCTTTCAATCCTTTTTCTCTTCCCGGCTCCGCTCGCTCTCTGTCTGTAACGACCGTTCCGAAGCCACGCTTCGTGCTCTGGTCATTACTAGAATAACTGCGTGTCTGCTCCAAACCCACCGCTAGCCTTCGCCGCGCTTGGGTCTAGCCAGCACGTCACACGGGCACGCCGAATTACTGTGTGTGATCCGCCCGGCCGTGACATGAAGTCATTCTTTTTTGAACAAAACTCAAAACAGAGTCTATTAATCTTTCAGTCATTTCTAACCCCCCCCCCCCCCCCCAAAAAAAAAAAAAATCCCACATGCATACTACCCTTTAGGGCTAAGCCCCAGGTGTTTCAAATGTCTGGCTCCGCCTCTGACTAACACAGCTGCTTATGTCCAGCATCGCTCTGTTATTATCAATTTGATTCGAAACGTGTCCAGTTTAATGTCTTAAACTAAACTGGCATTAAAGCTTCAATGAACTAAAGTGGTCCCTCTGAGTCAGCACCCAGAAAGCTCGTCTCTTTGAAAAATGTGGCCATAAATACGAGCGCTGCTGGGATCTTAAAACACTGGGGCTAAATCCAGACCTGAAATCTTTGTTTCACTCAGTAACAGCACCTTTTTAATATTATTGACTATATGTTATAGTCACATTTATATAAAATGTCAAACATCATACGTTAGCTAAAGGTTGAAGTCACAGAATTATACTGAACAACAATGCAATTTGAGTTTTTCTTGTTTGTACTTTATATTTGATTTACTGTAAGCAGCGGGAGTAAAAGCTAAAGAAAAAATAGTAAAGATATGAATGAATCTCTGCTCTTACAGCTTTTATAGTATGGAATCAGAACGATGCCACCTTAAAACGAAACCGAAAAAAATATTGAAACCGAAGAAAAATATTGTAACTGAAATAAATGTACTGAAAAATCTTGTATTGAAACCAAAATAAAAAATTGATAGTGAAAAACAATTAATTGAAAAAATTTTTTTTGTTTTCGCTTACAATTTTTTTTTTTTCGGTTTCAATCCATTTTTCGGTTTCAATCCATTTTTTCGGTTTCAATCCATTTTTCGGTTTCAATCCACTTTTCGGTTTCAAACCATTTTTCAGTTTCACTCTGCTGGCACTGTTTTAGTGTACGGGGGCGCGCTGGGGGGCGGGGATTCCGACCCGCATGTATTTGCATATATTATAATGCCGACCAATGACTGGAGAAAACACTGACGATGCGGCTGCGGTCATGGACAAACTCGCACGTGTCTGTTCGGGAATGGCAGATGCCGAGAGGTCCAGCGTTTACATTACCAACTATTTCAAAGTGACAGCCTGAGGTGTTCTTCAGTAAATTGGACTACCGGACAGGAGGACCTGAGGCCCCACCGCATTATTTTTGGTAAGTTAAATGTGTTAAGCTAATCCGTAATTTAGGTCCTTAGCTAGCTACCTAAGGACCTAGCTAGCTAAAATGAGCACTCGGCTGTCGGGGAAACTTGTTTTGTAAAGTTCGTTTAGCTAACCCGTGCAGGTGAATGAATTTACCCTGACTAAAGAAATCCAGAGAAACGCACCGGGCTGCTCAGTGACTAACCACGGTTACTGTACTTTTATTATGAGTATTATACTGTAAGAGCAACAGGCTGGACTCTGATTCTGCTCCTGTGCAGACCTGATTATTAAATATGTGCAAACAGCAGCATGTTTTCTGTCGCTTTCCACATGTGGAAGGACATTAACGCCAACTTTTAAATTCCCCTCATTAGTCAATAGCTACGGATTAAATAGCAAAGCCCGATACTTATGTACTGAAACCAACTACTTCCGCTTGTCAGCTTAAGTTAAAATGTTACATTTTTCCCCTGATTATTTTTTTAGCTTTTTTTTTTACTGAGTTTGTTACAAATATTCAGGTTAAAAAACTGTCCGAATTATTTTTAATGAATTATGTTCACAAAGCCACATGTGCAGTACTCTGTACAGCTTGCATCCTTTAGGACAAATAATTTGAAACATTAATATTTCTTGTTCAATACTGAGCTAATAACACCTCTGTATGTTGTGACCAGGATGCAGCAGCAGACTGAACCTCGACTGAAACCTGCTCCATCATCTCATCTTTGCAGATGTCCATTTATAAAGCATCAACAACTCAAAGGTAAACATGATATTAGAAAATGTGTTAGTAAAGCCTTTAAAACAAATAAAAAAAATAAACAGCTGTCGGCAGAACTGTAGGACTGAACAACTTCAGATCCCGAGTGTGAGGACTGAGAAGGATCAGCTCTATTTCTGATTTGAGAGATAAACTTGATATTTCAGTTTGTGATGATTCTGTTCTGTTTGTGATTACAGGAGCTGTCCTCAGATTCAGACCTCAGCACCACCCAGTGACAGCAGACAGATCATCCTATATCTATCTTTGTAGTAACTCCAAAATTAACTGAAGAAAACAGTACAAAGGTTAAAGTACCACATGTGCTGTCAGTGAAAGCTGCAGCTGTTTTATTGATAAATTTAAAGACAAAAAGTCAAAAGGATTAATCACCCCTGTAACTGTGTCACTATACATCAGCATTAACAGTACCTCAGTTTGGTGTTTCAGAAAACTGCTGATCTCAGACCTGCACAACTTCTGTTTTAAACACTGAATGTACTCAGCTACATGAAGACCACATGTTTTCTCTGACACAATTAAATAAAACCTGATTAAAGTCAAAGGTTGTTACTTGTATTTGAACTAAAAACTTGTGATCTGGAATTCTTTCACTGTTTTTTGACAATAGTGTGTTATTTATCATAAAGTAATTCAGAATCAGAATCAGAGTAAGAGTAAGAATTAAAAGTGCTAAGTAGATAGATAGATATATACATGATATATACATGAGTGCAGGTGGTGATCAGTGCCAAACATGGAATGATACAGTGAACACAGCGTAGGGTCATGAGTTAGTGGTGGGAACAGTCATACGGTTATTGTTCATGTGTCCAACAGCAGAGGGGAAGAAACTGTTCTTATGGTGAGAGGTTCTGGTGCGAATGGACCGGAGCCTCCTGCCTGAGGGGAGCAGGTCAAACAGACTGTGTCCAGGGTGAGAAGGGTCAGCTGAGATCCGAGCTGCACGCCCCAGTGTCCTGGAGGTGTACAGGTCCTGCAGAGATGGGAGTCTGCAGCCAATCACCTTCTCAGCAGAGCGCACAACACGCTGCAGTCTCTGTTTGTCCCTGATAGTGGCTCCAGCGTACCACACGGTGATGGAGGAGGTGAGGATAGACTAGAGTAACCAGTGAGCACAACATATATTTAACTTTCTACAGGACTTAAAGCTATTACTATAGTCTATAGCTATAGCTATTACTTACCTGCACTACTGTATAGTTCTGTGTAAATAATCATTCTGTACATATGATAATTTTTAATCCTACAACTGTTTATAACTTGCATAGTTCACATTTCTGTATAGCTGTATATCTCAGATTTCTGTAAAGTTATTTATTTCATATTCTGTATAGTTTTTCATATTTATATCCTGTTCACAGCCTGTACATAGTTTGTACTCACTACAGCTTGTACATACTTATAGTTATAGAATATTCTTAACATACTTCATACCGTGTGCATTGTAACATACCATAATAGACCCATTTCTGTAATATACTTACATATCTATATTATTGCTAATATATATTGTAATATAGCTATATCACTAAAGCACTCCTGGATGGATGCAAACTGCATTTCATTGCCCTGTACCTGTGCATGTGCAATGACAACAAAGTTGAATTCTATTCTATTATATTATGTAAAAGTCCAGACCCTCTGAGGATTATCTGAGTACTTCTAATATTACACAAAGCAAAGGTCTCCATCAGTGTTTATGAAATGCTGGGTTTATCCTTCTTGTGAGGGAGCTGCTGGTGAAGATCACGAGCCCTGCTTGATCCTGGTGACGAGTTTCAGTCTTCCTGGTGTTTCTGAAATGATGCCTCTCACTGTGGGTCAACAGAACTTCTGGCACAGGACAGCTGTAATGAAAGAAATTGAAGTTTAGAAAAAAAAAAATCTTGGAAATGCCCTAAATGTGAGAAGCAGATTTTGTATTTACTTTTCTTTTGCCAATCAAAATAACAAAGTATCATTTTCACCACACAATTACTAACCTTGTCATCTCCTGCACTGTCTGTTTTGGGCTCTGGGCTCGTCCTTCCCAGCGCTCATGAGACTGCTTTGATGCACTGTGGTATGAGGTGCTAACCTGTTGACAGTGTTGGGAAGGTTAATTTTAAAATGTATTCCACCAAAGATTATAGAAGTAATGTATTCTGAATACTTTACAACTACATGAATGTACTAGTGCTGTGTGATTTATTACTATTACTGAAGGCTACTCGCCATACCAATACCAACTAGATGTTAAAATCTTAATATGAATGAGTAACAGTAGGTGGACATTAGGTAAGGCTGCACTTTTTGCAGCGATCTCGTGTAGAAAACTATTCAGCGCGTATATAAAACAGGTCCGCGCCTCCGAACCGTAGTAAAGGGACCTCTGGCTAATAGGTCGGGTTCTGTGTCGGGCTCGTAGCTGAAAACTAGCTTTACTTTGTTGTCTGGGTCAACTTTGCTAGCGAGAGACAGAGAGAGGCGTTGAAAGGCTGCTTATTGTTTCGGAGGAAAACATGAACATGGTGTACAGTCGAGTCTTAACAGCTTACTTACAGCTGGGCTCGTCAGGCACTCTTTTTGGCTTTAGTGGTTATTATTATATTTACATGCTTCCAGCTCCTGTTTCTGCCCGGTGACAGCTCGTACTTTTCCTTTCTCTCCCTCCCTCGCTCACAGACACATAACGGGTATGGCAGTCCATTCTCCCTGCAGCACGGACTACACTGCCCATGAGGCTACATTGTTTAGGGCGATGCCTGTAACACTCTGCTATTGCCTTCATATTAAATAATGTTTGCATAATAATTTTTAGAGGCTCTTATTGCGTGTTTTGTTTGGGTTTCCACCGGGGTGGAATTACCAAAAATAGAGAGACCATAGCCTAACATATGAAACAGGAAAACACCGCCATGTAATCCATTTATTTCAACAAACTAACTGTATTCTCAATATCACCTATTGAACAGTAACTCTAACGGATACATTTACTCATATTTTGTATTTTAAATACGTAACGCCGGTGCATGTATTATGTTACTGCCCAACACTGCCTGTTGAGATCCTGAGATCCGCTCCTAGAACACCGGCCTCCAACTCCTGAAGAGACACGGGTGTCCCTAAATTTAGCAAATATTAGCTTCAGGCTAGCTTGCTACGACGAATAGGCTAATACCAGCATTTTACCACAACTTCACCAGATGTAGCTAAAAAAAACTAAACTAATATCCAGCCCAGTGGGACAGCAAGAAAAGATGACAAAAAATGATTACTTACTTGCGGTTTGGAGGTTCAAGCTGAAATTGAAGCAGCCATTGAAAGATGGGAAGAGAGAAAGATGGCAGCTTGGTCAGCACTAGTGGCCTCTATAATGCCGGAAACCCCCCCCCCCCCCCCCACCCCCCAGCGCTCCCCGGACGCCAAAACAGTGCCAGCAGATTGAAACTGAAAAATGGTTTGAAACCGAAAAAATAAAATAAAATTGTAAGCGAAAACAAAAAAATTAGTTTCAATTAATTGTTTTTCACTATCAATTTTTTTTTCGGTTTCAATACAAGATTTTTCAGTACATTTATTTCAGTTACAATATTTTTTTTCGGTTTCAATATTTTTTTCGGTTTCGTTTCAAGGTGGCATCGTTCTGATTCCATATTATTGTGCCGTGATGTCTGCTTTGAAACTGTCCTCTTGCTCGTCTTTTGGATGCTCACCTCTTCTTCACCTTTCCTGTTCCTTTCACCAAACTGCTGCACTCTTATTCTCTGCTCTCGTCTCCTCTTCTGGTTACAATTAGAATGCAGTCAGCATGTGCCAAACAAACTCGCTCCAAATCGATCATGTTTGATATGATGATGACGTTTTTAACATCTTATTTATCAACTTATTTAATACATTGTATCGATCAATTATTAAACAAATATCAGACTGTAGAAAAGCCAATAATAATGCACTGAGCAAGTTCATGCCATAAGAGCTAAATGGCCATCAAAGAAAATCCTGAATGCCTGATACAGGACAGGCCAACATTGAATGCAGCCACAGATGGACATCAGTCAGCTTTCTGCACTTTCCACCTGATCACATCTGTCCTCAAAGTCATGTCACTTCCTCTTTGGTTAATTTATGTTTACTTTTACATTTGCAGTTAAAATAAATTATTTCCTATGGACTGCTGGGTTATCTTGGTTTATTTAAGTTAGTATTTTTAAAGGTGCAGTCAGTCATTTTTTAGGTTACCTGATAGAAAAAAGCATCTTGTACTCATAAACAAACAGAATAGTGGATAACAATGACAGATTGTTAAACGTGTCATTGGTCACTGCTTACTTTCCTCATTATTTAAGCATTACTCATCCTTAGTATGTCATTTATAAATACAGATATACGTTCTTAGAAAGAACCACTTCTGAGCCAGATCTCCTTACTCCAAGGAGCTTTTCTGAGTTACCATTGTGCCAGAGGAGGAGGACATCCACTACTTCTTTCATGTCACCTGAGTTCACCTGTGGGAAAGCACATATTTCTTTGAATTCAGGAGTACTAGGGAACTAATCTTGAGTGATTACTGAATTATCTGACTAAAGCCAATCAACCAGAGAAATTCTAAACTCTTAAACATCCAGAGATGTCTGAATTTATGTCTGCACCTTCCCACTCCAGATATGAAGGATCATACCTGTTTTACCTCCGGTGTTGTGTCAAAAAGTGATCGTCTGACAAAAACTGATTTCCAATGTCTTTACTTATATTGGTAAATAGACTTTAGTGAACATGATTTACAAAAGGCTATATATCAAATTTAATAATGACCCATTGTTTCCAAGTATATTTATAACTCTGTGTTATTGTAACTATATGAAAACAAACCCAGTCCTTTTGGGACACTTAAAATATGTTTAGAGAACTATTATTATATTTATTGTAATTTCTGCTGTCCTCTTGGCCAGATTACTCTTTAAAAAAAGTCATTTTAATGTCAAATGAATGAATAAGAAGTAAAAAAAGCCAAAAAGTGATTGCAGCTTCTACCTTGTGACAGGAATGTTGTTTGTGGCACAAGATGACTCGATATCACTCATGAGGGATACATTTGACATGTTTCACATATGTCAAATGGGGCGATCGTGGCTCAAGAGTTGGGAGTTCGTCTTGTAATCAGAAGGTTGCCGGTTCGAGCCCCGGCTCGGACAGTCTCGGCTGTTGTGTCCTTGGGCGAGACACTTCACCCGTTGCCTACTGGTGGTGGTCAGAGGGCCCGGTGGCGCCAGTGTCTGGCAGCCTCGCCTCTGTCAGTGCACCCCAGGGTGGCTGTGGCTACAATGTAGCTGCCATCACCAGTGTGTGTGTGTGTGTGTGTGTGTGAATGGGTGGATGACTGGATATGTAAAGCGCTTTGGGGTCCTTAGGGACTAGTAAAGCGCTATATAAATACAGGCCATTTACCATTATAGACCAAAAAGTTGTCTATAGCAGTTTAAATATGATCAACTGGTTTTTGACAAATACCGAAAATGAGTTTATGGCAGATATGACTTTTTGACACAGCACGATCTGATTTCCTCGTGTCAGCGTTGTTCCCACATCATCATAATAAATGTTGTTCCAGGGTCCACATTACAAGTAACCAATCACCTTCTTGTGACGTCATACTTTTGCGACTTCGAAAAATACCCGCCTTACAAAAAGAAATGTTCTTCGAGAAATCGCCTTTTGTCCGCCGATCCAGCAATTTCAACCTTTTGTCGTCCAATCCAGCAATTTCAATTCCTCTCAAGATACTTTTCTTTAATAAACGGTAAGCATAATACATGTTTTCCTTGAAATGGATAGCTGTTTGTTTGCTAGTGATAGGCTACTTGCGAACCAGTGTTCTCCAGACAGAGAATTGCGTGTCAATGTATTATGATTTATTATGAAAGTACAGGTGAATATACCTCCCCCGTCAATATATTATGATATATAATAAATGTACAGGTGAATAAAGCTGTCATAACAATGTCAGGCAAAATTGCAGTAGCTTCCCTGATCATTTTACAAACATAAGTGAAGAGAATCTGGACTAAAAGGCCTAGACTTATGGTTGTGTGCTGAATCTATGAATCAAACTATCACCTGGAAACATAATTAATTGGTCCATAGCTGTGAAACTGGACATGAGTTCTTGATTCTATGGAGATTAACAGTAATCCAGAAATTTACAAATTTGTCCTGGGACATCGCGTAAATGTTGTCCCAGGGACATCGCGTAAATGTTGTCCCTGGGACATCGTGTAAATGTTGTCCCAGGGACATCGTGTAAATGTTGTCCCTGGGACATTGCGTAAATGTTGTCCCTGGGACATCATGTAGAAGTTGCCCTGGGACATCGTGTAGATGTTGTCCCTGGGACATCATGTAGAAGTTGCCAGAGACATACCATATGAAAGTTTAGCTTCTTTTAGCCCCTGTTTGTTTTATATTATATATATATATATATATATATATATATATATATATATATATATATATATATATATATATATATATATATGTGGCGTGGGTGTGGTCCTTGGCCAGCTGCAGAGGAGGGGTGACGCAGTGAGCTCCCGGGGCGGCGCAGGGGCGGGGTGAACAGGTGTGCTGGGATCTGACAGTGATTGTGTCTCTTTATATGTTGGCAGTGACAGACGGAGAGGAGACGGACGTGACAGCAGAGAAAGAGAGCGCGGGAGTATATGTGTCCACGTACAACCCCGAGTTTAATAAAAAGTTCTGCATTGTCAAAGTCGCTCTGGCTGGTATTTCTTGGGTCCACCGTTACAATATATTTTTAATATTTTATTTAATATTTACAAAAAACCCCAAAACAAGTTAAAATGAATTAATGAATATTGACTAATTAAACCTTCGTTATTTTTCCACCAGAAATGGACGATATAATTAGAAGAAGTGTTCTGAATGACGAAAAAAAAAGAACTGGAAAAGATACACAACTTTGTGTGCATGTGTCACAATGCCAGGAGGACCCATTCAGTGTTGTGTTAGAAAAATTGAACTCATTAACCCTTCATGGACATTATAAATGTTTAAATGTGGCCTCAGGTAAAGACAGGAAAAGAGACTATTACAAATTCAACTGCATCAGAGCTGGAAAAAAAAGTCGAAACAGCTACAGAGCAGTGGGCTGTAAGGCCTATGTTTCATTTAAAGTACTCAAATGTTGGAAAGACCACACAGTCATCGTGCAGCGTACATATGATAAGCATGATGGGCATGATCCTTCGGACCTAAAAGACGCACATTTCAACAATATTTCCAGTGATTTGAGGAGGAAGATTGAGGAACTGCTTTCCCTTGGAACTAAGCCAGCCATCATACTAACCGAATGTCATAAATGGGCCAAAGAACATGGACACAGAGATCTTCACAACAGAGAGCATTTTGTCACACCACGTGACATTGACAGTGTTAGAACCTGCATGATGAGGAAGAAGCACTTTAACTGTGGAGACAGTCAATGTGTACATACCTTACTTAATGGAAAACATCAAGAACATGTTCTCTTCTATCAACCATACACATCTGACCAAGAACTAATGATTGTTTTGCAGACACCTGTAATGAAATCAAACATGGAGAACTATGCAAAACAGTTAGTATTTGTTGACACCACGCACTGCGTTAACCAGTATTCATTTCCCTTATTCACACTTGTTGTAAGAGATGATCATGGGCATGGAGTCCCTGTGGCCTATGCTATTGTCAGCAACGAAAGTCAGAAAACCCTGGAAACTGTTCTTGGAATAGTTTGTGAGCTTTTCACAACTTCCCCGAGGTAAATAATACATTGACAGCTATTAATTTTGAAATAATTCCTTTTCAAAAAAGTTATAACATGCCAGAATCTAATGCTATAGCTGCAGCATGGGCTGCAAAAACTTTCCTTTCCAGTTGTTAAAGTTATTCCTATAGGCTGTATGCAGTATTTTATATATCTACTTGTGAGTTGAAATGTTTAATTTGGCATTGAAGTGGTGCTTTGAGATAGCAAAAACATTTTCATACTGTTTAATCTCATTTAGTGTTTTCTTTTTTTCTGTAGAGCATTTATGGTTGACAAAGACTTTGCGGAAATAAATGCTTTGCAGAAGGTTTTTCCAGAGTCAGCTATCCTTCTATGCTGGTACCATGTCTTGCAGGTAAACCACATTGTTTTCTTTTCACGTTGTCTAAGATGGACCTGAAACACATTTTTACAACAGGGTCCTGTTGTTATGATTTGCCTCATTGTGATATTCACCTACTCAGGTTAATGAATATAAAGGGATAAAATGTTGA